CTTTTGATAATAAAAACTAAGTTCCACTTCATATAAACCAACGGCTTTCTTCCTCATTTTAGCAACCATAAGTTGAAGATTTTCATTCATGGGCTGATTATGTAGTTGTAATTGGGCAGCCTCCAAATCATTTTTACCCTCATATGACCTAGTCGAAATGTGCCAAAATGCTTAATATCAAGCTTCTTCAAAGCTCCTTTTAGTTTGCTCAACTTCTTGCAAAGGATAAATTGCTTTATCCCCCGCAAATTAAAGTTCCAACAAGTTTAAATAAGATCATGAAAATCCTCATGCTTAGTCCACATGTTGAAAAACTTGAAAGGTTTTTTAGCGCCCCCAACACAGTCATGAACGGAAACAATGCAAGAAGAGTGGTCGAAAAGGCATCCGGAAGGTAGAAAATTTGCATCAACATATGCCCTATTTTGCACCCAAATATCATTGACTATTGCCCTATCAATTTTGCTTCAAACCGAGTTATTAGCCCACATGTAATAACAACCAATGGAGCGCACATCCGTAAGACCCACATGAAGGCAACAAGTAGCAAAATCCTTAATTTCATATGGAGTAACATCCGCCCCATTACATTTCTCATTTAGAATATTTTTGTAGTCACCAAGAATCATCCAAGGCAACGAAATATTAGTGTTGAAATCCATTATGTTATTTCAAAGTGGCCTCCGATTAACCATAGTATGAAATCCATAAACGAAACTATTAACAAAGGTAAAGATGTTACATTGCAAGTAGCTTTACAGTAAATGATTTGTGGATGAACCTCCATCACATCCAATAACACTTTGGATAGATTCCATAAGATCAAGATCCGTCCGGCTCTATGAGTGCAAAATTTGTTTACATGCATGAAGCCATCGAATTTATTCCGCAAAATTATTTTCAATTTTTGATCAACCAATTTCGTCTCCAAAATACCCATGATATCAATGCAATGTTGCTTGATAAATTTTCGAATCCCATTTTGTTTTAGGGTTGGATTCATAACCCTAATATTTCAAGATGCGAGCTTCATGATGTTGAAGCAAGAGAAGTACCCTTTTTCTTGTCAACTTTTGTTCCCGATTTTCTTTGCTCCTCGACCTTATCTTTGAGCTTTTCATTTCTAACTTTACTTGAATTTGCCTGTTTAGAGTTTACTTGCAAATCTGCCCCAAATTTTGAAGGGACTTTATGTGCAGCTTTCTTCTCCGAATTAGCCATGTTCTTCTTGTTCACAACCTCAACGAATGGAGGCTCATCCTGGCCTAAGGTCTGCCCAAGATGGTTGGCCACAACAACAGGTTGAGATAGCTCAATATTTCAGTTAGAAGGCTGCCTTTCAAGCCCTTCCGAAACCATAGGTTGCTGTCCACCTTTTTCAAGTGAGCAAAATGCTGTTTTAGTCGAAATATGCTGGGAATTTGAGGTTGAAACTGAATTCCTAGCTTGTCCTTTTTTCCAAAGTGCAACCCGTATGGGGGGTTTTGATTTCACCACATTTTTGCCTTTATCTTTTTTACCCTCGGCAAGTTTATTGTTGCAACCCAAAGCGGAGTGACCGAATACTTTACAAGAACCATAAAATTTTGGTTCATATTCAAAAATAATTTCTTATTCTCTCAACGAGCCATTTGGAAGTCTTATCTTTACTTCCTGCATAAGTTCAATAAAAGCATCAACTTTGACTAGAGCTCTTGCATAAGAAAGTTGACCTCTAGTTGCCCTAACCTTATCGGTCGAGATGGGTATTCCAACCTTGGAAACAATTTTACCCAAGGCATTTGTGTTCCAAATTTCCAAAGGCAATCCCGGTAGGTTTATCCAAATAGGCATAGTACTAACATCTTTGTCATTGAAGTCAAAGTAACGTGGCATGACTTTTAGCATTAACGGTCTCCCATATACCAAGTATGGACTCCCATGCAATACACTTAATCTATCCACACCCGTTTCAAATTTGAACACCAACCAACCACTTGCGTGCACATAATATTTATAATGAACCTTCCATGAGTCGCACAATTGGAGTAGTGCCACTTTTCCCAGAAACCTACCAGCGAAATATTCGACGAGACCATAACCCCAAGTGTCTTCAATATTGTCCTCATTCGACTCACTCAATTCCACTTCTTCCGATTGAAGCTCAAAGGGCTTCAATTTAATGTTTTCTTCCAATTTTCTATTATCTTTGAGGAGGTTTACCCGAGGAGCTTTAACCTCTTTCTCCCCAACAATTCCAACATTATTTTCCTTCTTTTGATTCTTAAATTCAGCCGTATGAGAATGAACACCAGAATTTTCAGAATCCGTATCTTTGTTCCCAAGAGTTTGGGACACACTAGGAGAGCCACAAGAAGCCATATGAACAACCTTTGAAGGGGGTAAGTCACTAACCTTGGACATGGAAGCTTCACAAGGGGCCAAAGTCAGATCATGGAGTTGGTCATTTGAGGCCTGCTTAGAGGGAAGCCCACTTTTATGGCCAAATTTTCCCCCATAATTAACAGAAATAAGAAGGGCCAAAAAAGGAGCGAGGCCTGCCCACAAGATAAGGCAGAAAAACGTCCCGAAAAGAAACAGACTAAGCACTGGTTGGAGGGAATAAAACTGGGAAAACAACGAAAAATAAGTCCAGAAGGAGAGGCCCAAAGAGAAGAATAAAAAAATCCAAGAGCTACCCAACAACGACCTTAAAAAGAAAAGGCCCAAAGGAGTAAAAAAAGACCCAAGAAGGACCAGTCAAAACAGGCCCCAACAAAACCACACCAAGAGACCCAGCCCAAACATCCAAAATCTTCAAGAGGACAAAGAATACCAGGAATAGAAGCTATAAAATATTGCAAGAAGTCAGAAAAACCAGAAGACTCTGCCAAGACAACACCAACACTACAATAGTCAGCCATCAACCCTAGAGACCACGTCGACAGATAGAAAGAAAGCAGAAAACCAAGGACCAAATTCAAAAATCAGATGATTAGCAAGATTACATACACAAGAAGATACAAACTGCAACCAAGAACTAAGAAACCCAGCAAAATGGCAGCCAAGCTAGGAACTGAAGAATAGAACTAAGAAACAAGACCCCAGCAAGACCATAAAACTACCCAAAAACTGAAGAAAATCGGATGCCAAGAACTGAAGAAAAACATGCCTAACGACCAAGAGTTTGCCAAACTGAAGTAGAAAGACAAAGAACAAACCAAGCTAATCGAAAACACCAAATAAACGCAAACTGAAACCCGAAGCTAAATGAAAACCCAAGCAGCAATGTCCAGCAAGCAGGATTTACAGAAACCAAACTGACTGAAGTAGAATCAAGAACAAAAGCTGGTGAAACGCACAAAAAGCACAGATTGCAACTTGTCACCAAAACACAGCAAACTGCACCCGAAACTAGATCCTTTTCGCCTCTTGACCAAGAGTTGGCCAAGAAAAACAAGAAATGCCGAAGGAACTGAAGAAACTGAAAATTTTTAGACCAATAATACCTTTCAAAACTCAAAATGAGCAGAATTAAAAGGAAATGCAATAGGTTTTAATTCAATTTCCACCAAAGAATAGCAAAAATCGAACTAAAACACAAGAAATATATAAGAAAATAAGGCACTCAAGTGGGATTTTCTCTCACTAGAATTGAGAGCATCTCTCTCTAACCTTGAGATTGATTGATTGATCATGAACTTTCTTTAAGTGGACAAAATATTAGAGCTCTTGCATATATTTACGTGATAGAAGTCTACCAAGGGACATACCGTGACAACCTCGTTCTAGTTTCGTAGCAACTTGTTGATTAATTTCGCGATTGAGATTTCTCTCGTCGACCAAGAGGTCTTCAAACTCGAAATTGACAACAATGACATAGAGGGTCGTCCATTATTTGCGAAGAACTAAAGGAGTTCCCCATCCAAGCGCTTTGTGGAGAGTTAATTCCCCAAATAGTTACTGAACTTTGTAAAAAGTTCCTAAAGGGTAGGGAAGTTTTGAAGTTCGATGACTTCCTGGAAACTTTGAACAAAGTTCAGTGACTATTTAGGAAAGTTTTAAAATTCAATGATCTCCTGAAAACTTTTGGCAAAGTTTAGTAACAATTTGGGTAATTAACTCCTTCGTGGAAGAAATGAATAAGGGATATGGTTAGGGTTTGAAAGGAGAAATCAGATTTGATTTATTTATGAGTTGAGTTTTGAATATGAGTTTTGGGGATTTTTCTGTTGACATGGCAGGACACCACTATTGATTGGGATTTTTGTGCCACGTAAGTGGCTTCGACCAAGTCGAAATGTCAACTAGTGATGGATGAATAGCAATTTTAAAAAGTTCGAGTGATTTTTGAAATAATTAGCCCAAAGTCATTAAAAGGAAACAATCATGCTATGATGTTGGGAAAGATTTGACACCCTCCCTATTAACACACTCACAATTGAAAAATTTTAGATGAACAAATTACATCGACCATGTCCATCCAGTAGGGACATGTCTCCCCTATTGGGGGGGATACGGTCCCCCTTGGACGGAAGCACTTTTTTTGACATTTTTTATTCAAATGGTCCCATGCTGGTCCCGCACATGTGAGTGTATGTAAGTGTCAAACATTTTGTGGCAAAAGAGTTTACTTCAAAAGGAAAAAAGTGGAAAAGATAATGGGTTCTTTTCAGACTTCCAAAAGATTGTTTTATTTCCATCAAACTTCCTTTTCAAGAGTTGATTGTTCTAATTGTCACTGAATTTAGATTCATGTTTTTTATTAATCACTGAAGTTTAAAATATCGAATTTTGATCACTGAACTTAGGTCCATATATTTTGTTGTTCATTGAAACTTAAAATGTCGAATTTTGACAATTGAATTTTGAAAAATATTGTACATTACTCACTTTAAATTCGACATTTTTTAAAATTCAATATTTATGTTAGTGAGCAAATTATAACATTTTCCAAAGTTGAATGACCAAACTTTTAAACTTCAAAAATCAATAAAAAATATGAATCTTCAACGGCCATTGAACAATTAATTCTCTCTTTCAATCTCTGTCACCTCATTCAACTTCCCTTGACTCATCCGCCATCGCCTTCTTCCTGCTTTCACCCACAAAGAGAAAGGAAGGGAGGGAGAGACGAATTCAAACAAAATGCGCTTCCTCCTATTTCTCTTTCTGCTCCACCTCCCCTACTCTACAGCCGCAAGACCGTCCCGGATGCCGGAATACAACGCATTGCTCTCTATCAAAGCCGCCATCAACGACGACACACAATCGTCTTTGGCCTCCTGGGGCGCCTCAACCAGTTACTGTGCTTGGCTGGGGGTCACGTGTGATCCCTCCCGGCGTCATGTGACAGCACTGGATATATCCAATCTCAATCTCATCGGTACCCTCTCCTCCGACGTCGGCCACCTCCGCTATCTTGGAAATCTCTCTATCGCTGCCAATAGTCTCTTTGGTCCCATTCCTGGTGAAATCTCCCATATCCCAAACCTGCGTTATCTTAATCTCTCCAACAATGGCTTCAACTCAAGCTTCCCGATACAGCTTTCCCGCCTCAAAAATCTTCAAGTTCTCGACCTTTATAACAATAATATGACTGGTGAGCTTCCAGAAGAACTGTCTTTTCTCATTAGTCTTCGTCACTTAAATATCGGGGGAAATTTCTTCACCGGTCAGATTCCGCCGGCGTTCGGCAACTTCCCCAACCTTGAATACCTCTCGGTTTCGGGTAACGAGCTCACCGGGTATATTCCCCTGGGGATAGGAAACTTGACTGAACTCAAGGAACTCTATATTGGGTACTTCAACAACTTTTCTGGTGGTATACCTAAGGAGATTGGAAACTTGTCGGAGTTGATAAGGTTTGATGCTGCAAGTTGTGGGATCTCCGGGGAGATTCCGGTAGAACTCACCAAGTTGCAGAATCTGGATACTATCTTTCTTCAAGTAAACGGCCTTTCTGGGTCCTTGACTAAGGAGCTTGGGAAGCTAAAGAGCTTGAAATCAATGGATTTATCTAACAATATGCTTTCTGGTGAAATACCACCCAGCTTTGCCGAGCTCAGAAATCTGACTCTGCTAAATCTTTTCAGGAACAGGCTTACAGGATCCATACCCGATTTTATTGGGGAGTTACCTGAGTTGGAGGTTTTACAGTTGTGGGATAACAACTTTACAGGAAGCGTTCCACAGAACCTGGGGACTAATGGGAATCTGAAGGAAGTAGACGTTAGCTCCAACAAATTGACCGGAATCTTGCCGCCCAATCTGTGTAGTGGTAATAAGCTTCAAAAGATAATCACTTTAGGAAATTATCTGTTTGGTCCGATCCCGGAATCCCTAGGTCAGTGCGTGTCACTAAGTCGAGTACGGATGGGTGACAACTATCTGAACGGTTCGATTCCAAAAGGACTCCTGAGCTTGCCTAAGTTAATCCAACTCGAGCTCCAATATAATCTCCTCTCTGGTACTTTTCCAGAGACGGAAAAATTGTCCAAGAGTCTGGGGCTGATTAGTCTTTCTAACAATAATCTCAACGGGCAATTGCCCCCCAGTATTGGGAATTTTGCCGGTGTCCAGAAGTTATTGCTGGATGGGAACAAATTTTCGGGCTGGATTCCATCTGAAATTGGGAAGTTACAGCAGCTATCAAAGATGGATTTGAGCAATAACAATTTTTCTGGCCCCATTTCGCCAGAGATCAGCAAGTGTAAGCTGTTGACTTATGTCGATCTTAGTCGGAATCAACTTTCAAGTGAGATTCCAAGAGAGATCACTGGTATGAGGATTTTAAACTATTTGAATTTATCAAGAAATCATTTGGTTGGGAGCATTCCAGCTTCAATAGCTAGTATGCAGAGTTTAACTTCTGTTGATTTTTCGTATAACAATTTGTCGGGGTTGGTTCCCAGCACTGCACAGTTCAGTTATTTCAATTACACTTCGTTCGTGGGGAATCCCAATCTTTGTGGCCTATATTTGGGGCCTTGCAAAGAAGGCAACATCAATGAAGTTCAAAGGCCACCCAAGAAAGGGACTCTGTCTCCTTCCATGAAGCTACTACTTGTGCTTGGATTGCTTGTATTTTCCATTGCATTCGCAGCTGTAGCAATTATTAAGGCTCGTTCATTGAAAAAGACAAGTGAAGCTCGTGCCTGGAAGCTTACTTCTTTCCAGCGCTTGGATTTTACTTGCAATGATGTTTTGGATTGTCTGAAGGAAGATAATATCATTGGAAAAGGAGGCGCTGGTATTGTTTACAAGGGGACGATGCCTAATGGTGAGCAGGTTGCTGTTAAAAGGTTAGCCTCAATGAGCCGAGGTTCTTCACATGACCATGGTTTTAATGCTGAGATACAGACATTAGGGAGGATTAGGCACAGATACATTGTTAGATTACTGGGGTTCTGTTCCAATCATGAAACAAATCTTTTGGTTTACGAGTACATGCCTAATGGGAGCTTGGGGGAATTGCTTCATGGCAAGAAAGGAGGTCACTTGCATTGGGATACTAGGTATAAGGTTGCTGTGGAAGCTGCAAAGGGGCTTTGCTATCTTCATCACGACTGTTCACCTTTGATTGTTCATCGTGATGTTAAATCCAATAATATTCTTCTGGATTCTAATTTTGAAGCTCATGTAGCTGATTTCGGTCTAGCCAAATTCTTGCTAAACTCTGGAGCATCGGAGTCCATGTCAGCTGTAGCTGGTTCTTATGGATATATTGCTCCAGGTATGATATAGTAACTAAGTTTTAAAATTCAGGGAGATACCGTGAGTCAAATGATTTTGGTAACGACTGACTGATTTGTTATTTGAGTGGTTAATTGTCAATGATGTTAGATTTCATCGACTCACTTTTTCACTGATGATATGCCTTAAGGTTCAGATGTCATTCATTTGTTTCAATAATTTCTTCTTGTTGCCTGAATTGACTTGTTCACCTCCTGTTAACATAATTAGGGTTCTATTCTTGCGTTTAATTATGTGTTTGTAATAATCAGTCCCTTTCACTTTCCAATTGGCATCCAACTACTGAAGAGAATGGCTACAGGAGAACGTGAACATAATGTTTGACTAGCAATTTAAAAATGATTGTACCTATCAATTTGTAGTTGAACCACACCCATGAAAAATGATATGTTGATGCAGAGATGCTGTCAAAAATTAAGTGTCTTATCAAACCTTGATTCATTGGTTTAAATTTAATCTTTGTAGAGTATGCCTACACACTCAAGGTGGATGAGAAGAGTGATGTGTACAGCTTCGGTGTAGTTCTTTTAGAACTTGTAACTGGAAAGAAACCTGTTGGGGAGTTCGGGGATGGTATTGACATAGTCCAATGGGTTAAGAGAATGACAGATGGGAAGAAGGATGAGGTGCTCAAAATCCTTGATCCTAGACTACCTACGGTTCCTCTCCATGAGGTGAAGCATGTATTCTATGTTGCAATGCTGTGTGTTGAGGAACAATCTCTGGAACGCCCCTCCATGCGCGAGGTGGTGCAATTGCTTACCGAGCTTCCAAAGCCAGCAAGCTCCGATTCAGGAGATTCAACAGTCTCGGAATCCCCTCCTACATCGAATTTAGCATCTCCAGCCACACCTCCAACAAAGAACTCAGAGGACCACCCGCCACAGTCACCGGATCTTCTTAGCATTTAAGGCGCTTTATCATTTTTTCCCCCTGTATCCTTAGTGTTCATGCATTTCAATTTTTGTACAGTAATAGGGTTGATGGGGGCGTTTTTCTAATATTGTAACTTATGTTTATCATGCGGTGGTTGTGATTCTGTGACTTGCAAAAGTTGTGTTGAAAATCTGTATTATTTTAGTTCCCATTCGGGTTTGGTTCATAGGCAAGTGTGCTTAATTGAAAACTCAACAGCACAATTGGTTTGACTAAAAATGGAATCTTGTGTAAAAGTACTGGATTTCAATTAAGGAGGCTGGGTTGGGATAGAGAACACCACCACATGTCAAAACGTTTCAAGATTTGAAGCCGAGTTTATCTATAGACATCATTTTTCACTAGAAAAAATTTGTATCAAAGAAGCTTCAAGTCCCCATCTTCACTAGCTGTATGAACAAGCTAAATTAGACAATACAACTAACAAATATTTGATAATGCTATTTAGTTATAAAGCATGATCAGGCAAAACAGTAAAATTGTCTGATTTTCAATCGTTGGTTAGTAGAAATTATGATATTTGCCATTTGCCGATTGCAAAGAACCTCTCTTACATGCTTGTCATTAAAAGTAGATTGCAAAACGAGAATCCTTTTCGTTTGTTGAGCTCTTGAATGATGAGTTAGAGATTTTGTTCCTCATCAAATCTCAAATTTATTCTTCTCATATGTTTGATTATGTTTATAAACTACTTATAAAAATCACTTTCTAATCACACAATTTTTAAGTAATTGGCAAATAAATTAATCAATATGTCGATTATAATTTATAATATCAAAGTATCAAACCCCATCCCACCAACCGGACAAAGACACGCATGAGCATGCATTATTAGGGTTCCATGGTTGAATATTCTAATTTTTATTTATTAACAATGGATAAAGCATAGTCTAACATCCACTAAAATGACAAAAAAGATTGTATATTATGATAGGTGCATGCTTACGAACAATAATTATTGCTCACTGATTGATAAGTATTAACGTACTTAAATCGAACTTTTAATTATTTTCTCATAAGTAGTTGCAATTCATTTAATTTACTAATAAAAAGGAGGACAGTATTATAAGTATGTTTTTAAATTATCTAAAAAATAAAAATTCTAAGTAAGAGAATTAATCTAACTCAATTACATCTCACCTATCAATTATATCTTAAAAATTGACTTCTACGATTTATAATATTAGATTTTCACAAAAATATGCTCAATTAGATATTCTTTAATTACTTGCGCATGCAATTATTTTATTTTTCTAGTATGGTAGGTGGGTGACCGACTAGTTTTCGAGGGAATGGACCAAGCTTATCGTGAAAATTCGCATAGGCATTTTTGTAAATGGTCCCGTTTACTAAACCTTTTAGTAGTATTTACGTTTCAAAAAATAGTGGCAATCGATTTTTCTGCTTTATCCCCGACATTAATCATCCACTTCTTTAACCAGTAATCAAGCATAAAAGATTTTTTAGCACAAAAGATAACTAAAAAGTTGCACTTGTTAGGACCTTTCTCTTGCTGCTCACGGTGATTTCCGGGCTCAGTTAACCATTAAAATCGAATTCAACATCAAATTGGAGTCACCAATAACCGCCGGCGCCTCTTCCCACTTGGTTGCTTTCCTCGTTTGCTTTGTTGATTTAATCCACACACTTAGGATGGATACCACTCAGGTAAGATTCACAAAGACTCAAGCAATTGGGATGGAGAAGAAATCACGAAGAAGATGAAGGCAGAAAAGCATGATAGAACACGACAGCTCCCATCTCTCACGGCTTCAACTTGGACGGGCTCAACTAGGATGAAAACACCAATATATATAGTAAGTCAAGTGGCCAACATAAGGTAAGTAAGGATATGGTAAGTAGGCTCGACTAGGGTTAACTTCCAATGGAAAGAATCAACAAGGCACAAAGAGTATTAGCCGTCCAACAGGTAAAGCAACGTTTGGTCGGTTCATCCATTATTCGATGTTGAATTATCGTTCAGTCATTCATGTCGACTGATAAAATTGGTTCTCATCATCGTCCGGGAGGTCGTTTGACAACATAATGTCTAACAACCTCCACCTTGGTGTCAAATGACCTGCAAAGAAAAACATTTTTCCATTAGTGACACCTCTAACAGAAAAATCGATAAAATTGAAATCATTTACCTGTACCGATATTTAGAAGCTCTTTGCAACTTCTAAACTTTACCAGTGGCAGCACTTTCGTGCCCATATCTGAAGGATTGTACTGTGTGTGAATTTTTTCAAGTCTTACTATTTCTTGTGATATTATATCCCTAATGAAGTGTAACCTAACATCGATATGTTTAGTGCGTTCGTAAAAGACAGGATTCCTACACAAATGTATGGATGATTGACTATTAGAATACACAACCACATACTCATTCAAGACACTCAGTTCATGAAATAGACCTCTAAGCCATAGAGCCTCTTTAATTGCTTCAGTGGTGGCAATATATTCTGACTCTGTAGTGGATAGTGCAACTATGTGTTGTAACTGTGATTTTCAACTAACACACGAATTTGATAAGGTGAATACGTAAGAGGAAGTTGATTTCCTACCATCCCTATCTCCTGCATAGTCAGCATCTACAAAACCTTTTAATTTCACGCCTTCTTTATTAGCACTAAATTTTAGACCCACGTCACTTGTACCCTTCAAATATCTTAAAAGCCACTTTAATGCTTCCCAATGTTCAGGACCTGGATTAGACATGTACCTACTGAGAGTACTAATAGCGAATCCTAAGTCCGGTCTAGTGCAA